GGAGGCAATTCTGCCGTAACAGAGCTCATAAAATAGCGTTGTCATAGCAATGCTCTCTTATGATTGTTCTTGGTATTGAAAATTATGAAAATGTTTATCTATTTGCCATGCGATAAGGCGTATTTTACAATAAACAAGCAAGGAATAATGTTATGATGACGGAATTCTAAATGGTTCAGGTATCATAAGATTATCCCTTGCTCGTTTATATGCAAAATACGCCTGATCGCACGGCAAATAGATAGACATTTTCATTATTTTCAATACCAAGAACAAACATAAAAAACCATTGCCATGACAACGCTATTTTATGAGCTCTGTTATGGCAGAATTGCCCCATAAATTAGTTTTCATCCTGCTTATTTATCGAACGTGCTCTGCTATGAATGTGCATGTGTGTTTTCAAACCACCTAATTGTGTGAAAGTTCTATTACATATTTGGCATTCGTGAGGCTTTTCTCCAGAATGAATTTGCATATGACTTTTTAAATTACTTGATGAAAGGAGTACTTTATTACATATTTTACAATCATAAAGACGCTCTTCTAAATGAATAATCATGTGATTTTTTAGATTAATAGAGTTTGAAATGCCTTATTGCATTTCTCACATTTATGGGGTTTTTCTTTAGCATGAATCCGCATATGATTTTTTAAATTACATGATGATGGAAATGCTTTATTGCATACCTCACATTTATAACAGTCTTCGGAATGAATAGCCATGTGAATTTGTAGATAACCTAATTTTTTGAATGTCTTATTACATATATCACATTTATAGGATATTTCTCTAGTATGAGTTTGCATATGTTCTTCTAACTTTTTTGATGATCGACACCCTTTGTTACATGTTGCACATTTGTAAGGAAGTTCTCCTGTATGAATAAGAATATGAGATTTCAAATCAGCCAGTCGTGTGAATGCCTTATTGCATTTTTCACATTTATGGGGCTTTTCTCCAGTATGAATTTGCATATGTTGTTTTAAAACCTTTGATGAATGAAACCCTTTGTTACACGTTTTACATATGAAAGAACGTTCTCCAGAATGAATGCGCATATGTATTTTGAATTCGTTCAATCGTGCAAATGTTTTATCACATGTTTCACAAAGATGTTTTCTGGTATGATTTAATGCATGCTGATTCAAAGTGTGCACATTTGTAAATGTTTTATAACAAACCTCACATTTGTAAGGTCGATCTTCAGAATGATTAAGCATGTGTACCTTATAACTCCTCAATTGTCTGAATGTCTTGTCACATTTTTCACATTTATATGGATGTTCCCCTGTGTGAATAAGCATATGCTTTTTCATACTACTCGGTGTTGTGAATGCCTTATTGCATATTCCACATTTGTGAGAACGCTTACCAGCATGACTGTGGCTACTTTGCTTTTGTTTATCAGATTCATTAGACTTTGAAGTTTCTTTTATGGTATTATCACATTCATGCTGATCTAATAGATATTTTGTTGTGAATATTTTGTTACAGATTTTGCATGCAAGAGGTTTTTCCCCATAAGCAGGTTCCTCAATTAATTCCTGTTTGACTTCTTCCTCAATTGTTACATCGGAATTCATGAATCTTTCTAAACATGTATCATCATCTTCAGAACATGATTCAGTCTTAACAATGTCATCGATATCATCACCTTCAGAACATGATTCAGTCATAACAATGTCATCAATATCATCATCTTCAGAATATGATTCAGACTTAACAATACCATTGATATCATCAAATTCATCTTTAATTTCGCATTTAACGTCTTCGATGGAAAATTCTAGTGGTTCAGTTTTAATTTTAAGATCATTGGTAGAATCACTTGTTGCTTCAGACATTTCGAGATATTTGCAATGCTTACATTCAACAAATATTAATTCAAATAGCTCCCCTAAAATATTTACTATTACGTATTAATCAATGCTATTCTTAAATGTTATAATGAATTTAACTATTTTTATATTAATTATTGGAAATAAAAACATTAGTGGTTTGACATTTGAGGTTACCGTGGAAGCATAGAGATAGTGTATGTTCTTGTAAAGACGAAACACTTAGCATCTTTTTAGATTCATAACAATTAGGGGGCTCCATTAATCACGTGAGGCATAGATAAACTAGTTGGTATTGGTATTTTGCCTTGAGGCAAGTTATATGAACTTTCCGATATATGTAAATAATCGACTTAATCAATAAAAAAAAACTAGTTGATTTGGTATTTAGCCTTGAGGCAAGTTACATGAACTTCCCGATATGTGTGAATAATCGACTTAATCAATAAAAAATAAATTAATTTATGAGTGATTAAAAGCATTCCGAGTGGATTTATTACACATAATTGAACACGAACGAACGCTTTGACTCGGAGTATTTTCTAAAAGCAAATTTTCAAAAATCAACAATTATTATAATTGAACCAGTTTCCATTGGACTTTAATGGCCCAGTATGTTCATTAAAACCAAGAACTCTATCGTTATACCAAGTAAATCGTCTAATTTTAATTTTAACAAACGTAAAAAAAAAAACTACTCATTTTCTCAAACTCAAATTTTTAAAATTTAAACTACTTGTCGTAAGGCCGTAATATTTCAATGAGTTCTATAAGACCATGATATTATCGCCAAAACAAGTTCCATAAAAATCGGCTTAAATTTTTTTCCAACAGTTAATTACAAGAAAACGGCTCGGTATTTCACATAAAACTAATCAGTATCATTCCCAACTAATATCTTTCCAACAGTTTTTGGTTTTATAAAATCGGTTCGGTAGTTTGAGCTTAAATGTGGACGAAAATTTAAGACTTTTTTTTAAATTACAAAGAAACGGTTAGGCCGATCGTCGCACAAAACTGAGAAACGATAATCCTCATCGAGATACATCAAATGGTTATTAAATGTTTGAAATCGGTTCAGGCGTTTTTGAGCAAACGTCGATGAAAGTTCTAATTTTGACAAATGCCAAAAAGACCATACTAATTTTTGCAAAAATTTGACGAATTTTTAAAGCTTAACGAGTTGTCGTAGGGCCGTAATATTTTATAATGATCTAGAAGACTATGGTATCTACCGCCAAAAAAATAATCATAAAAATCGTCGAATTTTTTTTTTTAAACTTTATTACAAGAAAACGGCCCGGCCGATCTCTACCAAAAACTAATCAGCACGATTCCCAATCAATATCTTTCGATCGGTTTTTGAATTTTCAAAATCGATTCAGAATTGCGGGCTAAAACGTAGACGAATTTTTTTTTACTTTTCTGCGATTTATAAAGAAACGGTTCGGCCGATCGTAGCGCAAACGATAATCGAATGCCTTTTAAATTTTTGAAATCGGTTCAGCCGTTTCTGAGAAAATGTCGATTTACGGCAAAAATTCTGTTCACATACACGCACACACACATACTTTTTCCAAATTTGGTCTCATTCGATTCAGAATGGCTTGAAACGTCGAGAAAACATAAAATTAGCGAATCGGATTTTTTGATGAAAACATAAACTTCTCCTTCGGGAAGTTAACAAGCAAGAGATTTTAGGGAGAGCGGTGGTTTGACAACAAATTACAAAATATCACGTGGGGAAGGTAAGGGTATAGTAAAATATTACGTGTATGTATGTTTTACCTGAATATCTTTCAAACATTTACAAAAATAATACAAAAATTTTACAATATTATCTCGTAACTAAAAACACACGTAATGTTTGATGAGGGAGATGGGGTAATTTTGAGAATCACCGTGTATTACCAAAGGGGAGGGAGTGTCCAAAAATCCTTAAAAAATCGATCACGTGATTAATGGACGCCTCCTTATCTATGTCTAACTTCTCGTAGGGATGCCGTAGAGTAATGGGGTAAGTTATATGGTAATTGTTCAAAAATTGCAAATGATAATTTTTGCATATCTTCACGTTTCAGTGGTTTCTGAACATTTTGACATATCTTAGAAAAAGTGGATGTATGTGTGTATGTTTTGTGTATCTACAATTCTTTGTCGACGATTTCGGACGCACGGATTTCAAAAAACATTCGATTCGATGGGGAGACGTGTTGATTAGTTTTTGACAAAGGCTGATTTAGCAGCTTCAGAGATTTAGTGCAAAAAATGACGGTTTTTAAGAGATCAACCGATTTGAATGATTCAAAAAACATTCGATTCGTATTGATGGGAAAATGTGCTGGTTATTTTTTCGCAAAGGCAGGTCTCGTAGATATGGAGCAAAAAGTGGTGAAATGACATTTTTAGAGAAGGTGGAGTATCCGATTCGAATGATTCAAAAAACATTTTGCTTATAAAATTTTGCAATATAAAAAAAAATGTTGTAATTTTACAAAAGTTAGATACAAAATATACAATTCGAACGTCATTTTTGAATTTTAACCCTTTCCAGTCGGATGCCGTCGCTCCGACGGCAAAATACATATGAGTCTCGCAATTTGTGAGTGGAAAAGGGTTAATTTTTTTAAATTCAAAACAAAAGTAGTTCTGTTCAGAACATACGTGGTCTATATTTAAACTATGCTAATGATTTTTTTGTAGCTAATCTACTTTTTTGGCCTATAATATTTTAGGATTCGGTAAGGTCATGAAATTTGGCAATGTGCAATTTGAAATGAAATTTTCTAGAAATGACCTGGTAGGTCTTTACCGAAATCTAATCAGCGCGATTCTGAACTAAAATCTTTCAAAAAGTTCTTGAATTTTGAAAATATTTTCAGAAAAAAGATAGAGCTATTTAGATAGATAACTAGATAAATAGAGAGATAAAAAGATTTGGATTGAAGATAAAGAATGTGATAGAGGGAGCATCATAAAAGTAAATGGTATTGCACTTATCTGCTAATAATGAAAAAACGGTTCGGACATTTGTCTTGAAGGCACGTCGAGAAAACAAAATTAGCAAATCGAATTTTCTGGCAAAAACATAAACTTATCCTTCAAGAAGTTAATGATGAGCATCAACTTTTATAATCGTCTCTTTAATCTCCCTCCAGATAATCGTCCCAATGCAAGAAATGTTCTGTCGTCAAATGGGTGGTCACCTGAGGCGTGTAGAGGCTGCCCCAGGACCCAAAGATGCAACAGGACCACCTTTAGCTTGGGGAGTGGCATACGATCGAACACCCTGGATTTACACTGGTGGATGGGGTGGACATTTTCTTAAAGGTATTCCTATCATAAACAATCAATAAACCAGATCAGTTATTAAACTGATTTATCCCTCTTCCAGGTCTCGAGCCTGGCACAGGTGGTGCCATCAACCCCATGTCTGATACTCAGACTTATTTTGTGTACGAGAACCAAAGGTGGAATCCTCTCAGTGGATTTACAGCAAAGGGGTTACCTACTGATAGATATATGTGGAGTGATGTTACCGGAAAGTTAAAACGATCGAAGGAGCATACCAGATTACCATCTGTCCGATGGCAATGGGTCAGTAATAATAGATTATTGAACTTTTTTTAATAGTTAATGTTATGGTTAAGTTATTTTATTGGTTGTCAAAGTGGTTTGTGTCTTGGACCCCTTTTACCTGTGCCATGGACTCTTTATTTAACCGATATCAATTTTTTGTGATGGATCTTTATAATTCCTGTTTGTTGACGTGGGCCCTTTGAAAGTTGTCATGGATTCCTGGGGATTCACATGAACCACTTTGAGAATCACCAAATAACTTATCTGGTATAAAATATAATGCTTCGGGTACCTCAGTGCGTTTGTGTTAATAAAAGTAGGAAGGGGTAGGAATAGGAATAGAAATTGGTTTTTAGTGAACTCGTGTTATATCTTAAAAAACAATAAAAAGTAAAAAAGAGAGAGAAAAAGGTAGAATGAAAGAGGGAAGAAAGACTTGGAAACAATAGATGGTAATAGATGGGGATAGATACATTGAAATAGACATAGAGTTGGCGATAGATAGATAGAGATAGCTAAAGAGATATAATATGGATAGAGATACATAGATAAATATATAGATAAATACGTCAACGAGGCACTCGAAGACACTGGAGTTTTTTTGATTGGAGGAAGAAAAATAAAGTCCGCTGATGATCTAGTGATGATATCGAAAAACCAAACCGAACAGACTCAAAATATGATGTCTACAAAACATGATGAGCAGAATCGTCGAAGTGGGTGGAAGTTACGGAATGGAAATCAACGTCGACAAGTCGAAAGTGAGGAGAATCACGAAACAAGATGAGCTCCTGAGGATAGCGGTAGGAAATCTAGAATAGGATGTCGTGAATCATTTCAAATACCTTGAAAGCATCCTGACCAGAGACAGATACTGCACCAGAGAGATCAGAACAAGAATTGCAAGCGCCAAGGCGGCATTCGCGAAGAAGAGAACGCTACTGACGAACAAACTGAGTCTCGACTTGCGGAAGAGATTAATAAAGTGCTATGTCTGGAGCGTAGCTCTGTATGGATCAGAAACATGGACTCTAAAAACGGACGTCAAGAACTACTTGGTGAGTTTTGAAATGAGTGTGGAGGAGATAAAGTGGACATTACGAATGAAGAAGTCCTGAGAAGAGTGGGCGAAGAAAGGACTCCACTGAGCACAGTCCTGAAAAGAAAAGAAAACTGAATCGGATCCGTCCTGCAAAAAGAGTGCTTCCTGCACGACGTCGTCGAAGGTAAAGTATAAGGACTGAAAGCAATGGGAAGAGGAAGAATGCAGATGATTGACGACTTACGCAAGAAGAGAAAATTCAGGGAACTGAAAGCCAAAGCACAGGATCATGAAGCATGGAAGCAGAAGTTTGGAAAGGAAAATACAAGAAAAAAGAGGAGGGAAATCATTTATCTGTGGTGGACCTGCCTTCAGGCAGACTACCATTTATTATTTACTATTATAGATAGAGAAAAAGAGTTAAATAGATATAGTTAGAGAAAGGGATTGAGGGAGCGCCATAGATAAAGATCAATATTGTTTAAAGTTTTGTTAAAAAATGAAATAAAACAAAGTCAAAGCCAACTTATAACATTTTAAATTGTTACAATAAATCTCTGCGAATCGGAAATATAGACTTTCACAGAAGGTACTCTACTGATGAGCAACCTAAATAGAAAGTTGGACAAGAAACCTATAAAATAAACTTCACATGTGACAAGAATCATAAACAATAATCAAAAAACTACTGGCTCACTAATGTTGACGAAAAGCTACATTTTCAACGTGGTTTTCTACAGAGTAGAGACATGGACTATGAAAAAAGAATACTACTGACGTTCAAACTGAGGAAGAAGCATACAAAATACTCTCTGCGAATCAGATACATGGACTCTGAGAAAAGGAACTTTGCTGACGAACAAACTCAGTCTGGATTTGTGGTAGAAGCTGATGAAGACCATTAGGCGTAATCGAGAGGATTCACGAAACATTTGGAGATAAGCCAAATTCTTTCTGTTTTAAATCACAAACGTGACTGTTTCCTTGAAGCGAATTGACTTATTACTTTTTTTTGCTCTTTCAGCTTAAGTTTACATTACACTTTAGGTACTAATCAATTTCTTATCAAGGTGTCAGATTGGCTCGTGGACCATCAATGGAGTGGTTGCTCTGACGGGACAACTCTTGAAATGCTAACATCTGGTGGAGGAGGCGTAGATTCTGCAGGATGGCGTTACGCTCCTGATTTTCCAGCCAGGAGGTAATAAAGGAAATATTTCTGGCTTAATTTTTCCCTGTTTCCGTCTCTCTATTTGTCTATTTCCGTCTCTATTCTCTATCCAGTATTCTCTAACAAAAATTGTAAATTAGCATTAAGAAAGTTTATCAATAAGAAAATAAATTTGTAATTAACAAACATATGATTTTATTTTAATAATTATATTTTCCTCTAGGTATCATCCTCAAAAATCCTTTGCTGACTGTGTAAGACGTAGAAGGTGGTGTAGAAGAGCAAGACTTGTATCTGCAAGTGGCCCCTGGAGGGAGCTCGGTGGAAGTGGTGAAGTCAAAGTGTTAGACGTAACAATCAGAGTGAGTACCAGAAAGTTATGATTGTATTGAATTTGATGTTACAATTTTTTGTTTTGCTCCAGGTTAATAAAAAGGATGACTCGATACACATCTGGGCTGTGTCCGCAAATGGTCATGCTTTGTACAGGAGAGGGGTCACTAGGAGCACCCCAGGGGTAATTGAAATATTGATATTGTTTTAAAGCTTTTTAAAGTTTTTATTTAAAATTTAATCAAACTGTTTTCGTCATATATTTTTCTGTTTAATCTGTGATTTATTTTATTTATGTATTGAACCTAGTTGAAGTGAAACTTCTAATGTGATTTGCAACAAGTTTGCATTAAACGTTGAACGTTCTAGCGTTGTTAAATATGTTATCTGCACGTTTTCACACTTGCCACTTTATTTTTTTCTTTATTTTCAAGTATAACTTTAACTTCCATTTTTGTACATAAGATAATATTGTTTTTTGTATTTTACAATTTTATAATTGCAATATTATTAAACTTCCTGTAGATTAAAGTAATGGGCATATAATCGAAAATGAAGTTTTTTACATTTCTTCGCGTTTCAAAGGTTTCTGAACATTTTGGCTTACCTCAGAAAATATTGATGTGTGTGTGCGTGTGTGTTTTGTGTGTATGCATTTTTTAGTCCACGTTTTCGGGCGCACGGATCAACAGATTTGAATGGTTCAAAAAACATTCGATTCCTATTGATAGGGAGATGTGCTGATTAGTTTTTGGCAAAGGCAGGTTCAGCCTTTACAGAGATACGGAGCAAAAGATTTTCATTGCAATTTTTTTTTAATTCACAAAAAAAAATTTTTAATATCGAAATTAATTCAGATTTTCAAAATTGTAATTTGATACGGGAAGTTCCAGCAATTTAACTCAAGGCACGATGCCATACACCACTAGTTTTATTTATGCATTGAACCTATTTGAGTGAAACTCTTAAAGGGATTTGCAACAAGGTTGCATTAAACGTTTAACGCTCTTGGGAAGTAGAAAGAATAATACACAATTCCAGTAGAGTGTGAGTTCTTTTTTATTTATTTTTGATAATAATAAATTTATGTTCTTATCTAACTTTGTTGTTAATATCTTTTTTGCAAGTTTTTATATTTTTTCAACGCCACTTTATTTTCTTCTTCCTTTTCAAATATAACTTTAACTTATATTTTTGAATATTGTGATAATAATAATTTTTATTCTGCAATTTTGTAATGACAATATTATTTTTTTTAAGTCTTTCTCTCATTCATCTATCTACCTTTTTTCACTTCATTCATTTATCTATTTATATCTTTAATTATTCGCTATCTTCATTTCTGGCTAGTTATCAATTCTTATATCTTTTTATATATTTATCTTTCTCCCTTTATTTTAATTTATCTACCTTGCCTTTTTATCTCTTTTTTTCTATGTATCTGTATGTCGTAAATATTTCTATCTCCTCTCCCTTTTTCTCTATTTCCGTATCCATCTCTCTTTTTCTATACCTCCGCATCTATCTATTTATCTCTATCCTTTCCTTTCTCTTTCTCTATTTTTCTCTCTGTCTATGTATTTATTTCTGTTTTATTATTTTCTCTACCTCCGTCCCTATTTTTTACTATTTTCGTGTCTCTTTTTCTCTATTTCCGTGTCTCTTTTTCTCTATTTCCGTGTCTCTTTTTCTTTATTTCCGTCTCTCTTTTTCTCTATTTCCGTCTCTTTTTTCTCTATTTTCGTCACTTTTTTCTCTACTTCCGTCTCTCTTTTTCCGTCTCTATTCTTTATCCATTTATCTACCTTTCTCGCTCTTTTTCACTTTCTCTGAATATCTAGGGAATCTAGAGCTCTTTCTCTTTACATCTTCTCACTGAATATCTATTTTTCATTTTTCAACAAATGTTCCATTTACGTGTACGACGCTACACGAGCATTTTTAATTTTTTATTGTTTTTTTTTTTAAAGAAACAACAATATCCAAATATTTATTCCTAGCCTTGTCTATTTTCATTCACGTTTTACAAAGTTTCACTTCTTCCACGCGCAAAATTACAATTTTATTAAATTTTCCTCTTCAGGGTACCTCGTGGGAGCATGTTGTAAGCGAGCAGCCACTCTGCGCCATTACTTGTGACACCAAATTAGCCGTATGGGCTGCTGGTACTGATGGATGTGTTTATCGAAGACAGGGTGCTGACACAATAAATCCTTTAGGTGAAAAAGATGAAACTAATACTTGATGATAAAACTAGCTCTTGAAAATAAATATAATACTAATGATAAATGTGGTTATCAATTAATTATCATTTATAGGCAGTACTTGGCAAGCACTAGAACCCCCAAAGGGATCTCATGTCAAATCCTTAAGTGCAGGAGCTCCATGGTGTATTTGGGCTTTGGATGCTCGGGGTGGACTTTTTGTTCGTTATGGAATCAGTAGATATCAAAATCAAGCAGGGAATGAATGGAGATCAGTGTCTGTGCATGAGTTGGAAGATAACTCCAAAGGTGGAATTATATTATTTGGAAATCGCTTGGTTTCTGACAAAGAACGGTCGGATCGTTCCTTAGTAAATCATTTGAAAATTTGTTTTACAACCAAAATTTGTGCAAAATTTGTCCAAATCAAATAATCTGCAATAGTTTCTTATAATATGTAAACTGTTCATCAACTTGATATACTTATAACTTATAAATCCTTCATAAATTAACCCTTTCTACTCGCGAAAGCGGCTGCATCCGAGTGCAGAGGGTTAATTTATTGATTTTTTATTGAATTATCGGGAAATTCATTCAACTTGCCTTAACTGCCTTAATGTGATTAAAAATGTTGTGATTAATGTATAAAATTTTACAATATGAATTAATGAGATAATTTAATTTTTTTGTTTTTAGACAATGGTGCAACTCCAGTAGGATTCCGTAGTGTCAGTGTGGGAGCTGAGCACGACGTGTGGGGTGTCATAGGTGCTGGGGTGCTCTGCAGACGAGTTGGAGTCTCCATAGAGAATCCTGCAGGGACCGGATGGAATGTAGGAGCTGCTGTAAGTATTATAAAAATAGTATATGTAATAGGTCCTCAGCGTAGTAGGAGCAAAACTGGGAACATTTTCAAATTAGGAATTTGAACCAGAAAACAATTTATTTATATTTTTATGAAGAAATTGATTTCTAGTGAACTATTTGTTTGTTTTTATAAGATTATATAATAAAATTTAAAAAGATGCTTGTTTAAATTCGTACAAGTGACGAAAGTTTTTTTTTTTTTTTGACGGAATTATAACCTTTACTAGAATAAAAAAAACATATCCAGTGTGCAAGAGAGAGAGAGAGAGAGAGAGATAGTGATAAATAGATCGATATATGGGAAATATAGAGAAAAGAAAGAGCAAGACATAGATATAGATGGAGAGAAAAAGGATGATAGAGAATAGGTGATAGAAAGAGATATAAATAGGCGGAGAAGAGGGGGTAAATTGGAAAGAGAAAGAAATAGAGATATATAGAAGGGATATAGAGAGCAAAAGAAAATTGATAGATAGGGAAAGATAGAGATAGATATAAAGAGAATGGAGACAAAGAAAAATATACAAACGTAGGGGTAGATAGAAAAAGAGTGAAGTACATAGATTTATAGTTTATGTGATATTTTTCAGGGAAATTGGCAGCATGTGTGCGCAAGAGGACTCAAATAATAGTAAGGAGAAACGGGTAATATTTCATGTAAGATATAATTGTATCTTATTATTTTGATTATATTTTTTGTATTTTATTCGTATATATATATATATATATATATATATATATAATTTATTTGATCCCTTGAAATCTGGTTATTCATACTTGGTCGATTATTATGGCAGTTTGTTTTCTATTAATTACAATTATTATAAAATTATATAAATCCAAACCATTTTTTAATTCAGCCCATTTTATATAAAAACAATTTTTTTATTGTCTTATATACATATAATTTATGTATAGAGTGCTCAACAAACTGAATACTTTTCTGCTGCCATTGAATTAAATTAGTATTATAGCTTTATGAATTATTATCTAAATATATTTTAGTTGAATAAATCAAATATACAGGTTGTCCCATACCAGAAACGTTTGACCATAACTGTCCTGAAAAAATTTAGGGAAAAAAATTATCTCGCGTTGTTTGGAAATCATGAGCTTTTTTAAGTTCAACTCAAAGTGAAAGCTCAAAGAGCTTTAGTGAAATTATGACCATCATTTAGTTAATGTGTTTAACTTATATTAATTTTGCTCATTTAAACTTCATAAATGAGAAGAGATATCAAAGCACGTAGGTGCCGTGTCGCAGTCTAATTGATAAACATTGGTACGGAACCCATAGCAATAAAAACAAAATTTATACTTATTAATAAAATCTATAAAACATCTGATAATTTGATGTGCATATGTCTAATGATCATTTTTGATCCCCAAATGATATATTTTTTAACTTTTTTTATTATATCTCCGAAACCGTTAGACCTGCCTTTCCAAAAATGCAATCAATCCTTCATTTTGTCAATACAAAAAAAATGTTTTGGAATCATTCAAATCGGGCGCTTCCTTATCTCAAAAGCTTTTGCACTTTTTATTATTTTTGGCACTTTTTGCTCCGTATCTTTGAAACGGCTGGACCTGCCTTATTCAAAAACTAATCACCACGTCTCCTTATCAATCCGAATCGAATGTTTTTTAAATTATTCAAATTGGTTGATTCATGCGCCCGAAATCGTGGACGAAAAATTATATCCAAACATGCATGCATACACACACACATTCATTTTTTCTAATGTATGCCAAAATGTTCAGAAACCTTTGAAACGTAAAGAAATGCAGAAATTTTTATTTTCGATTTTTTGCGATTACTATTACTTATCCTACGGGAAATTAATAACACAATTACCTCAAATTTTCAAGAATTAAATTTTTTTTGCTCAACTATGAATTTAATTTTTTTGAAATCGGTCGACTTTAAAAGACCTTCCTTTAAAAAAATGTAATTATATATTATATAATTTTAGTATTAATTGTACTTAAAAGCTTACATTTTTCTAAAATTGTTCAGTACAATTAGGGTCAATACTATCAGTTTCTGCTTGAAGTTAAGTTCTGGGACACCCTGTATATACTTTTATATCTTAACAAAGTCTAAAACTAATAATAAGTTATTGACTGTGAAAACAATTCCATTAAGCTATTTCAATTACAATATAATTATAATTGAATTATTTGCATGCCATAAATATTAACAAATTAAGTCACAAATTCATGGATGATACATGTTTTATTGATAATTAATTAAGATTTTAATTACTTGATCAGCATCAATATTTTTATTATAATATTTATATGCACAAAGTACAATTTGTGCCTCGTTTACAATTGCTGGTCATTTATGTAATGAATAATGTTTTCGAGTGCATATGTATTTTAAGACTTTAGTTTTTTTTGGCTCGTGATAGTTTAAAATCATTTAAAAAGCATTTAATATAATTTGGTAAGACTTCAAATTTATAATTAAGCTTTTGAAACACTATATACAATGTTGTGAATTCCTAGTAATCGCCGAGCGGCAGTGGCAATATAAAATCCACGTAGGTTCCACATATATGTCACAGCGCTGAAGACAAGCTTGTGGATTTCAGATTGCTACCACCGCTCAGATCACATCGTGTTTACTGAGTTGTATTTTATTATAAATATTCCAATATATACAATAAGTCATGTTTGTACAAGGTAAATTCTTTGTTTATAATAATAATATATATATTTTAAACTGTACTTGTATGTTTATATACATAGTTAGTATTTGTGGTACAGATTTTGAAGAGATTATTATTATCTATCTATCCTAATTACATAATTATTTTAGTTTGGCAAAAACAAAGGCTTTATCACAAAATATATTTTATTTGTAATATAAAAATAAAATATAGAACATGGTAAGCATTCGTTAACAGTTGTCATGTACATAATATAATTTATAATAACATTGCACACACACACGCACACACACACACACACACATATATATATATATATATATATATATATGTATAATTTCCATATTTATTTTAAAATGTCATTTTCAACATGTCATGAAATTAATCCAAAGTCGAACATTTTTTCAAGTGAAACTTCTAATGCGCGCTACAGTGTGTGTAATGTCTTTATCTAAAACGCGTGCCCTTTTTCGATAGAGAGAGAAAGAACGATACACAGAAGAATAGGAAGAGAAAAAGAGAAAGAACGAAGGAAATTAGGATAGAAAGAGAAAGAGAGAAAGAACAATACACAGAAGGTAGAAATTAGTATTGATAGATAGAGAGAGAAAGAACTATACACAAGAGGAAGAAAATAGGATAGAAAGAGTGAGTGAGTATATAGAGAGATAGTCTGTAAATATTGTTGCCATGCCGCGAAGTAAACAGTGTATGTCGTGTAAAACTTATGTACTTATTGTTCTATTATATTTAACACTTTAGACTATTCAATTTTTCACACGTTTTCTCTCGATAACGCCAAATATCGAAAATTTTATATTTCATAATTTTTCAATTCTCAGCTAATTGCGTTTTACAAATCCTCATTTTGTGTCAGATATTTTTTTTATTTTTTTAATAATAATATATATTACTTCAAGTTTTTGTCTAGGGGAGGTTATTCATGGGTTATTAAAGTCGATTTATTAAAGTCATAATAAATGTACTTTTTGAATATTAGTCGAATCAGAGCAACTTTGTTCTTTACCCGAAAAATTTGTCAATACCCCCCCGGTTGCGAAAATTGACGATTTTGTCAGATTGCTATAAAAAATAAATTCTAAAAAATATCTTTTCACTTTACTTGCACTTTAAATTATATTTTTCAGAAACGACATAACATTGATATTTGCAATATTATTTTCTCTCAAGATGCTTTCACTAAGTCCTTTTCTATCTATTTATCTACATATTCTTCTCTCTTGCCATCTATAAATATAGCTTTCATAACTTTCATCTCTATCTCTATCTCACTTTTCTGATCTCTTTTCTTGATCTTCCTCTCTTTCTGTCTATGTATATCTTACTCTCTCTATCTATCTCATTCTTTATTTCTATCTTCTTCTCTCTATATCTATTCAACTGCATTCATTTTCTTTTGTTTGTATCTCTCTCTACGTCTATATCTTTACCTCTATCTTTTTTTATCCCTGACCCCATCTTCCACTATCTCTGTCTATATCTAACCTTAAATCTTTATATCCTTTTCCCTTTCCAGCTTTCTCTTTTTTCTAAATCTATATGCCTATCACTTTTTTTATTCTCTATCTCCTTCCCTCTATCTCCCTCTCTTTTTTGCCATGTGTCCTTTCATAGTAAATATATTGCTTTAATAATATCGCTTTCATTATTTACCTCCTTATCTCACTCTTTCTCTCTTTCTGCCTATGTATCTCTTTCTCTCTATCTATCTATCTCGTTCCTTATTTCTATCTTCTTCTCTTTATATTTATTTAACTGCATTCATTTTCTTTTGTTTGTATCTCTTTCAGTTTATGTATATATTTACCTCTATCCTTTTATCTCTGTCTTCCTCATCCTCTATCTATCTCTGTCTTTATTTATCTAACCTTCAATCTTTCTATCTTTTTTCCTATCTATCTCTCTTTTTTCTCAATCTGTCTGTCTATCACTTTTTTTTCTTCTCTATTTCGTTCCCTCTATCACCCTCTCTTTCTTCTATCTATCTCTTTCATACTAAATATCTATCTCGCTTTATTAATATCACTTTCATATTTTTTTTCTTTATCTCTATCTCACTCTTTTGATCTCTTTTCTCAATCTTTCTCTCTTTCTGTCTATGTATCTCTTACTCTCTCTCTATCTATCCCGTTCTTTATTTCTATCTTCTAATGACTTTCTCTTGAAAAAACAATACGAGTTCAATAAAAAGTCTATTTCTATCGCCCTTCCTATTTTCATTTCAACATTATGAAGTTTTACTTTTTACCTGAATCTAAAAAAAAACAAAAACAAGATTTTTCAAAAAAAAAAAACAAATATGTTAGGGAAAGCGGGAATTTCGAATATCACCAGGGAGAGTACAAAAATCTTCAAAGATCAATCACGTGATTGATAGACGCCCCCTTTACTATTACATCAAATAGAGAGTTCATAAGGACTACTTTGGATTAATAGTGTATTTATTTTACTATTTTTGTATTCTTTTCAGAATCTCTTGCAACATTTTCTCACGACTTTGCATAAATCCTACAATAACACTAAAACTATCAGTATAATCCACAACACACAACATTTTCCTCAAACAATTATTAATTTCATATATTTTATTTTCCACTAAGGTCCTACAAGGTTCCCTAACACCTTCAATATCACTAACTTTATAAATTTCATCAAAATATAACAAAGTGTTATTAAAAAACAAGTGCATCAACATAATCAAATTATGACTAAAGCCTTCGCTGTTTAAGAATAAATATTGTTGTAAATCCTTCGTTTGCATAAAAATTTGCTTTTTGTAAAAATTTTGCACAACATGAGTTTTAGATAACAGAACTATGTCTTCAAAATTTATAGTGATGAAGTCGTAGGGGTTGTGGGGGATGTAAAAACCGTATTCGACTAGTAGTTTTAAGTTATCATGCTTACCATAACTTATAAAACACTCTGAGTAAGCCTCATATTGTTTTAAAGTGTACAACTCATAACATAGCCTCAATTTAACATCATTGTTGCATTGGAGCACTGTTTGTAAATCCACATTCAATTTAGCTTCAGTTTGAGCTTGACAATCATGGTTGAACATATCCAAAAGAGGTGCTAAGGCTATGGAAGGCTCATCTTTCAACCATTTTGCAGGCTTTGTTAGTGCTTTTACAATTTCAGGGTCTACGTAAACACATCTTGTATTTACAGCAAAGTAGGACCAGGACACATCGGGGTAAAAGATGCTCCCCCAAGGTTGGTGGCAGCAAGTGCATCTAGTTTTTATATTTGTGATAAATTCTAATACTTGGTTTATATTTTCAGTTTGCTGTTCGAGTTGTGTATGAATCAATTTGGGTATGACTTGCTGTTCTCGTGGGATGCAAAAATAAGGTACAGAAAACGCTTTAGGGATTGTGTCAACATATTGGTGCCACAAAGACTCCAAGCCAAGATGTTTGTGGTACAAAATATACAAGCACAGACCTTGTTGCATCGACAAGGGTGTACAGAAGTCTTCCAAGATTTGTTTATTAAACTCTACATCATCTTGCAAGGTATTCAAACTTATCAGCATACTATAAGGTATGGATATCAATTTATCTCCAACATTTTTCTTAGTTTTGAACAAAACTCCTCGGCCTGTTTGCTCGAACTCTGATATGTTAATAAAGGTTTCATCAGTCCATTTATTAGCGCAAAGCCATTGTTTTAATTTAATTGTACTCGGATCGTTGTTTACTATTGTATTTTTGGGTGTTTTTAACTTTTGTTTACGTTTTCTTTGAGTGCGACCCATGATGTATTTTTGAGGTTATGTTTTTGACACTTGACACTTGTGGGTTTAGGGCGCCGGCACATACAGTTTTTTTGAAAATGCGATTTAAAGAAAATTTCGTTGATGAATTACAATTTAGGGGATTTAAAAAAAAATTATACCTTTTCCCTCCTCTTGGTGATATTTAAAATCCCCCCCCCCTTTGCTTAGCATCACGTGTATTTTAACGAAAACGTTAAATTGAAACTAAATTGAAAAAACGTTAATTTTTTTTTTTAAATTTTGATTTTTTTTTAAATTCAGGTAAAAAACTAGTCGCGTTTTTATCTTAATGCAAATTGCTGGAATTTTCCGTACCTTAATAAGATATTCGAAGGATATCAAATATTTTTAAATAGATTATTTAGTATTTATATACTGTAACTTTCATTATTCTTATTTTATAGACGAAATAAAAAAGCTTATAAATTTGATGACGACTTTTATACATTTTTACCGAAAAGTAAATAAACAAAACTTAATCAATCGGATTTAAAATGAACGGCATCGTCTAAATATTTATAAGAATTATAAAAACAAAATTGCAAAGTTTAAATTGTTTATTTGATGTACATAAATGAGCTTTAGAACTTTAGCTAGAAATGAAGTCAAAATCCAAATTACTTTCGATACTCAAAAAAAAAAAACTAGTGGTGTATGGCATCGTGCCTTAAGGCAAATTACTGGAACTTCCCGTACCGTAACGAAATTTTCGAAGAATATTAAATGTTTTCTAATAGATTTTTATAAAAATATTGTAACATTGTCTAATATTTATAAGAATTATATAAACTGAATTGCAAATTTGAAAATATTTGTTTAAAGTATATTAGAACTTAAGTCAGAATTAAAATTAAAATCTGAAATATTTTCGATATACAAAAAAAATTGAAACAAATTTTCTTCCAAAAGTAATTATTTTGTTGAAACAAGCAGAAAGTTCTTTGAACTATTCAAATCGGACGCTTATTTTTCTCAAAAACAACAATTTTTGCACATTTTGCTCGATATTTCCAAAACGGCTGGACGTGCCTTTGCCAAAAACTAATCACCACTTCTCCCCATCATTACAAAATGAATGTTTTCTAGTTCATTCAAATCGGATGCTCTATTCTCTCAAAAACTCGATTTCTTTTTTCTGCACTCTTTGCTTTATCTCCGAAACGGCTGGACCTGACTTTGCCAAAAACTAATCAGCTCAAAATTGTGGACGCAAAAATTTACACTTTTTTATTATTACAAAGAAATGGCTTGGAATATCGTCGCACAAAACTGACAAACGCTAGTCCTTATCGAACTATATTGAATGGCTTTTAAATTTTTGAAATCGGTCCAGCCGGCAAGTTGTCGATTCTATTTGTGATGGGATTTCTATAGTGCAACCCATTACTTGTCCATCCTCTTCGTGATGATCTTATTTTAGTGCAACCCATTGGTTATCCGTCCTCTTCGTGGTGAGATTAAAGTACAACCCATTAGTTGTCCATTCTTTTTGTAATGAGATAGTTATAAAGCAACCCATTGGCTGTTCATCCTTTCTGTGAAGAGATAATTATAGCGAAATCCGTTGGTTGTCTATTTTCTTGGTGATGAGATCATTATATGGCAACCCATTGGTTGTCCATTCTCTTTGTAATTAGATTATTAGATAGTTCTAAGTGTAATGTGATACATTAAAGTCCCAATACCTCACAAATCTATTAATATCACAATTAAATCCAAATTACCAAAGATTTGGAAGAAGTAATTCAAAAAACAGAAGCTATTGATCTTTTTTGGGGTGGGTCTCTAATTTATTTCTATGGATTAAGGCACGCTCTTGTATTGTTTGCCGGACTGTTAACATTTTCAGGTCATTGTGTATTGTAAAGTTTGTCACGTACCATGGTGCGTTTATAATTGATCTTAGAATTTTATTTTGCATTCTTTCTATTATTGCAATATTCGATTTTGAAGCAGTGCCCCATAACTCTACGCCATACATCCAAATTGGTTTAATTACACATTTATACAAAAGTAATTTGTTCTCTGCAGATAATTTGGAGTTTCGGTTTATTAGCCAATATAATTCTTTCATTTTCTGTTTAATTTGATTCTTCTTATTATTAATATGATGTCTCCATGTTAATTTGTTATCTAGATGCATACCCAAGTACTTTACCGCATCTGATTGTGGGACAGGTTTGTTATTTAGGTAGACTGCGGGGCTATTGATCTGAAGCAATTATTTTTTTAATGATGATATGAAGCAATGAACAAGTATATTCATTTTCAAGTACAAACTAATATCACTACTGCTTGATATCAGGTTGGCCAAGGTGAAAATAAAAGCTGGATACTAGTGTGGTGAGGCCAATGCTCTCTCAATAGAACCACGGACATGCTATAACATTTTTATCAACAAAATAATAATAACTCTTAAATTCTAGTTTTAAAAAACAATACATACATACACTTTTTTCAAATTTAGTCTTATTTGGTTCAAAATGACTTGAAACGCTGAGAAAACGTTTTTTTAACTTCCCGTAGGGTAAGTTATTGTAATGGGCCGAAAATCGGAATTGAAAATTTTTACATTTCTCGACGTTTTGAAGGTTTCTGAACGTTTTGGCATACCTCAGAAAAAATGGATGTGTGTGTGTGTGTGTGTGTGTGTGTGTGTATGTATGTATGGATACAAATTTTCGTCCACGTTTTCGGGCGTACGGATCAACCGATTTGAATGGTTTAAAAAACATTCGATTCCTATTAATAAGGAGAAGAGCTGATTAGTTTTTGGCAAAGACAGGTCCAGCAGTTACGGAGATAAGGAGCAAAGAGTGCAGAAAATAGAAATCGAGTTTTTGAGAGAACGGAGCATCCGATTTGAATGATCCAAAAACCTTCCATTAGTAATGATTGGGAGAAAGGGTTATTAGTTTTTCGCAAAGGCAGGCCCAGCCATTTCGGAGATACAGAGCTAAATGTACAAAAAATGGCAGTTTTTGAGAGAACTAAGCGTCCGATTCAATTGATTCAAAGAACTTTCTGCTTGTCTTAACAAAATAATTAATTTTGGAAAAAAAAAAATTTGTAACATTTTTTTTTTTTTTTTTTTTTTTTTAATTTTTTGTATATCGAAAATAATTCAGATTTTATTTTTAATTCTGACTATAGTTCTAATATACTTTAAACAAATAATTTCAACTCTGCAATTCAGTTTATATAATTATTATAAATATTAGACAATAATACAATATTTATAACAATCTATTTGAAAACATTCAATATTCCTCGAACGTTTCGTTACGGTACGGGAAGTTCCAGCAATTTGCCTTAAGGCACGATGCCACCCACCCCACTAGTTTTTTTTTTAAATCGGTCCAGCCGCTTTGAGAAAACGTCAAAAATCCGCTCTAACACTATAAATAGCACAGTAGTCAAAAAATTTATAAATTACATTTTGTACTTTCAAACAGTTGTAAAAAGTACATTTATCTAATTTAGTTAACACAAATAATTCATTTGCAAAAACAATAAATGACTTTATTATAATAATAATTGCATAAACATTTTATAATTACAAAATATGCATTCTTTGATATAAATATTTCACACTTAATAATAAACAATATATATACTTCAAACAGTTGCTCGAAGTAACTTTGAACTCGAATAGATCAATGAGATTATAAAGCTGCAGTAAGTACAAAATGGTAAATAAAATTTATCACACTTCAATGTTCGCTTAGCTAAATTCCATATCTGATGCAACTCCAATAAATTCTAGTTTCTTAACAATAATTCATCATTCCTCTCAATCCGTTCCAAAGTACTTCTGTCCAAAGTGATTAGGAGCAACCGGGTGCAGTTCTGATGTCAGTATTTTCATTTTAGGGAAAGCCCGAGAGACATTTTTGGCTGCTGCAGGGGTGCAGAAAAGATTTGACAGGATGATGCATTCTTCGTTGACTCCATGCTCCTTTAGGACATTCACAGCTTGAGTAACCGTGTTGCCGGTGCTCATGATGGGGTACATGAGCAGGATCTGACGCTTTGCTATGTCTTCTGGAAACCTAAAATAGGGAGATGATATATTAACTAGGTAAGTGGTAGTAAATAAAATGTGCTAGATCAATAAGAACCCTTTCCACTCGCAAATTCCGAAATTCATATGTATTTTGCCGCCGGATCGGTGGCATCCGAGTCGAAAGGGTTGAAATTAGGACATATTTGTTGTATGTCCTAAAAGTGCAACCCATTATTCAAAACTGGTTTAATAAATTCTCAGAATCAATCCACTTTCCATAGGCCTATAATATTTTATTATGTTCGTTTTAGACCATGAACTCTATAGCCCCATCTTTACCAGAAACTGATCAGCACGACTCCCAACTGAATTCTTACTTTTTGAATTTTCAAAATCGGTTCAGGATTTTTTGCGGAAGCGATGGACGAAAAATTTGGCACTTTTTTGATAATCATTAAGAAACGGCTCGGCCGATCATTTCACAAAACTAATCATCTCAAGTCCTTATCGAATTTAATCAATTACTGTGTCAAACGATTCAGAACGGCTTGAAACGTCAAGAAAACATAAAAGTAGCAAATTGATTTTTCTGATAAAAATCGCGTTGAACTCACCGAGACCTTTCAAATGCTGAAAAACGAGGCAAATAAAATTTGAAGAAAAACTTCTTTAGACTTTTTATGCAACAAAACCTTCAACATTAGAATCTAATCACCTCAAGTCTTCATCGAATTTCATCAAATGGCTTATAAATTTTTGAAATTGGTGCAGAAACAATGATTGTGTACACAAACCCAATTACTGTGTCAAAAGAGTCAGAACGGCTTGAAATGTCAAAAAAACATAAAATTGTCGTATTGAATTTTCTGATGAGAAATCGCGCAGTACTCACCTTTCAAATAAGACCTCACATGCTGAAAAACGAGACAAACAAAATTTGAAGTAAAACTTCTTTAGACTTCTTAGACAACCTTAAAATCTTCAACATTAGAATTAACCAAAGGAAACCAAAATTATTACTTAATCCTGTTCACAACACACACACACACACTTTATCCAATTTCGATCAAACGATTCAGAATGACTTAAAAAATAAAAAAAATCGAATCATTTATCATTTATCACCTAGCATATACAACTCTTGCAACATGTGTATCAGCATCCGACTCCACTAAGATCTTTCCAATCCTTATAGATCTGCAGCAGTCCCTCAGCCCCTGCTCCATCGCCTCACCCGAACGGATGATGGAGACTCCGCAGTTCCCGGAACGATACTTGAGGCCCCGATAGGGTGCTCCTGTGGGGGTCACTACTGAGCAGTCTGTGAAGGGGAGCTGATTGAGACTTGCTTCGATCACGAGACGAATTAGGCGATCGGCGTAGAATTTGAAGTCGCTTCGAGACGTGTTCCTGGGAAAAGGAAACGAGGGTGGAGGTAATAAATGATAGATTGAGGTAAGGTTGAAGTTTTCTTGCTAAATTCGTAATGCATTTATATATTATATCTCTTGTAACTTTTGAACCATTCGTTTAGTATGAACTAGGTAAGAGACAAACTTGTTCGAAATTAATTTATCTAAATATATTTCTTATAAGATAACACTCTACAACAACTCTATATTCTTCAAAATCAATTAAAACTAGATAATCAAATGCGCCATCTTGAATCGTCAATTGACCATTTTATTTGTGCATTTAAATATTATATCTCTGGTAACTTTTTAGAAGAAAAGGAAACTAGGGTGGAAGTCAAAATATTTTTGAATACCTTGTTGAAGGTTTTTTAATTTCATTAATAATTATTTAATCCGTTTTACTATTTATATAGTGCATCTGATTCTAATCATGCAAATTGTTTCCACATTTGTTTTTTTTATTTCTTGTAACTTTTTAACTATTCGATTAGTATAAATGATGTGAAAGACAAATTTGTTCCAAATTAATTTATGTAAATGGTTTTCTAGTAAAGAGACTCTACAGTGATTCGGTATATTCAAAAATTGCGATTGAAATTAGATAATTAATTTGAGCTTAGAAATTAATTTTTATTTATTTCTGTAGCACGATTTTGTAACTCTCAAACCATTCTGTTATTATGGCTGATGTAGTTGTCTCTTTATGCTTATTTATCTATGGTTGTCTCCTACATTTTACTGAATTAAATATTAAAATATTATTGCCTATGAGTAGTATATCCTAGAGCAACTCGGTATACTTTAAAATGTTGAATTGAAATAGACATTTGATCAGTGAATGCCAAAAAAGAAATACATGATTTCTCAGAATCAATATTGTTGACACGAAAAAAATGTTGCAATTAGTATTATGGGGTTTTCTGCAATCTGCAAACTTCTAAAAGCCTTGAAAGTGTCTTCAAAGATTTAAATTATTGACATGAGACTTCAATTAGAATGTGTATTATAAAACATTGTATGTGCATATATAATTTGAGGAATTTCTACAATCTGCAGACCTCTGAGAGCCTTGGAAGTGCTTTTGAAGTATTTAAATCTTTATTTATAGTCCTTTCAAAACAAAGTCAACATTATTAACATGAAAACAATGTTTTGATTAGTATGTGTATTATAAAACATTGTATGTTGAGATATAGTTTGAAGAATTTCTACAATCCATAGACTTCTAAAAGCTTTGGAAGTGTCTTCAAAGTATTTGAACCATTTCATAAAGTCCTTACAAAACAATGTCAACATTATTGACTCAAAAGTAATGCTTTGATTAGAATGTGTATTATATAACATTGTATAATGAGATATAATTTGAGGAATTTTTATAATCTGCAGACTTCTGAAAGCCTTGGAAGTGTCATTGAAGTATTTAAATTGTTTCATATAGTCTTTACAAAATAATGTCAATATTGTTCGATCAGAATGAGTATTATAAAACATTGTATGTTAAGATATAATTTGAGAAATTCACAGACTTCTGAAAATTTTGGAAGTGTCTTCACAGTATTTAAATCGTTTCATATAGTCTTTGCAAAACAAAGTCAACATTATTGACATGAAAACAATGCTTTGATTAGTATGTGTATTATAAAAGTCTTCTTAAAGTCTTGAAAGTGTCTTCATATAGTCCATACCAGATAAAGTCAACATGATTGACATGAAAACAACACTTCCATTAGAATGTATATAACAAACATTGTATGTACAGATACAATTAGAGGTTTTTCTACAAACTGCAGACTTCTGAAAGTCTTGGAAGAATCTTCAAAGTATTTAAATCATTTCATATAGTCTTTATAGAACAAAGTCAACTTTATTGACTCGAAAGAAATGCTTCCATTAAAATACACATCACAAACCTTTAAAGTTCAGACACAACTTTGGGTTTTCTTCATTGTGCAGACTTTTAAGAGACATTATTGACACTAAAGAAAAGCTTTGATTACAATGTATATTACAAACATTGTCTATTAAACTATAATTTGATGAGGTTTTCTTTCCCGTGCAGACTTCTGAAACAGTTTAATTCGATTCCAAAATGATTCCATAAATAATAACTGAAACTTACATGAGATGGAAGTGTCTATGAACAAAAATTTGGATAAAACTCGTTGACATAAAGCAAATGCTACATTTAGTTAAAATTTGGGGGTTGTTTTCTATATGGTGATGATAGACTTATAGACAATTAGGGGTTTTCTTCTTTGTGCAGACTTTTAATAGTCTTAGAGAAATATCTTCAAAATATTGAAATGATGCAATACATAAAATATCATTATTGACACATTAGAAATGCCTCAATTAGAATGTATATTACAAACTTTGTTCGTTCAACTTTAATTGGATGATGTTTTCTTTATTTGCAGACTTCTGAAACAGTTTTTATTTTAAAATAATTCTATAGGTTATAATTGAAGACTTACATGAGTTCTTTAAACAAAAATTTTGATGAAACTTGTTGACATGAAGGATATGCTTCGTTTAGTGAAAATTTTATAGAGTTTTATAGAGTTATTTTCTATATGATGATGATAGACTTGTAGACAATTTGGGGGTTTCATCATTGTGCAAACTTTCAAGAGACTTGGAAGTATCTTTACAACATTAAAATGGAGTAATACATAAAATATCATTATTGACACATGAGAAATGTCTCGATTATTGAGTCAAAGGAAATGCTTGGTTCAGGTAAATTTTGGGTTTTGATTGTGTTCAAAGACTTCTGAAGCACTAAAGCACCGCTGATATTAGAAGCACTAAAGCTCTAGTTAGTAATTCATCACTTGATGTTTTGATTTGTGAAGACATTTTGAGGTTATGTGCGGTCTTTTACAATTAAACCACCTACTAAACACAGAGAACATAAAAATAATAATATACACATAATAGTGATAACTACAAAGCAACTATTATAAATTTAAACAATTCTATTACTTTTTTACCTATCACGTAAAATGGTTTGTATTTCTTTAACCTGATCATTGCTTGGCAGTAATTTTAAGTTTTCATTGAACTCTTCACAAGAAAAATTATTTATTACATCCACTCCAGTGCCCATTTTGCAATTTATTTATTTATTTACTTCTTTGTTTGTTTATTTATTTAAATATATTAAAAACACATGACACCTATTTGACATTAATAATTATTTTCAAATGCGTGAAATTTGACACTAATGAAAACAGTGTTGCCATCTTTTGGTAGAAAAATAAAATACAAATTTTGAATATTAATTGCTTTAATGCATGGCTTCTTAAACTGTGGGTCGCGAGAAATTTTAATGTCAAGTATATATATATCATTTAATTAATAACATCACGTCTTGGTTTTTGTATGTTTTACAACAAATTCTTAAACTACATATTTTCTTATGTAGATATGTATATTTTTACCTAATAATTAAATCATCTAAAAATATTGATTTCTCTTTTATATTTGTGTGGGGTCATCAAAAAACTCGCAATGGGATCGCGAATGACAAAAGTTTGAGAAACCTTGCTTAGATGCATTAATATTATTAATTTAATTGCTTTTCTATTTTAATTAGTTAAAAGTGCTGCTAAAATATATGACATTAATAAAAATTTGAGAAATTTTATTCTAGTAGTGGTACAGAAAAACAAATTAGAGAATGACAGTTTTTAACTTCCTAAACGAGAAGTTTCTTTTCGCAAAAAATCTCGCGCATCTTTCTTTTCGCAAAATTGACGTTCCAAGTCATTCTGAATCGAATTTGACCAAATTTCGAAAAATATATATGTGTGTATATGTGTGTGTGAACCGTTTTTGGACTTTTCCGTTTTCTCAAAAACTGCTGAATCGATTTCAAAAATTTAAAAGCCATTCCATTGTCATTATTATATTGTCTAGGAGCCATTCGATGTATTTCGATGAGGATTAGCATTTATTTGTTTGCGCAAAGATCGGCCGAGCCATTTCTTTGCAATTAGCAAAAAAAAGTGTAAAATTATCTGTCCACGTTTTTGCCCACAATTCTAAATAGATTTTAAAAATTCAAAAACCGTTCGAAAGATATTTGTTGAGAATTATGTTGATTAGTTTTTGGTTTTTTTATCTATAGTTTTTGGTAAAGGTCGGCCGGACAGTTTCTTCGTAAATAAATTTTGAAAAAAAAATTTTGACGATTTTGTTGAAACTTTACATAAGAATAGATTTTGCAGTCTGAAGGAACATATTAAAATATTATAAGGCCTACGATAAGTGGTTGAATTATACAAATTCAATAAAGTTTATAACAGAGATAAAAGGTCAGTATAATGGTTTAGTAAGCATATGTACGTTCTTTGATGTTTTGTTCATGTTTTTTGACAGCTACCGGTTACAGTTGATATCCACACTTAAATAAAATACATTTTTAGATCCCAAAATGAACCAAATGAAATGAAATGAAATGTTTTAAACATACGAACATACGTATACAATTGCAGGCACTGAAATGTTTGACAAAAATTTTTTAGATCCCAAAATGAACCAAATGAAATGAAATGTTTTAAACATACGAACATACGTATACAATTGCAGGCACTGAAATGTTTGACAAAAATCAAACGAAAAAGCATAGTTTTATGAAAGCATAATTTTATTTTTGATTAGTGAAAAGCATAATTTTATTTTTGAAATAAAAATTTTAACATTTAACGTGAATAGCTAAATTTCAATTTTTATGGAATAATTTGATTAGGTATAATCATAATGATATTGTATGTTAAGTATCAGGAAGTTCATGCAACTACCCTCTTTAAAGCAAAATGCTACTTACAACCATTTTACTGCTTTACAACAATTTTGATACGGAGTATCCGATTTGAATGATTCAAAAAACATTCCACTTGTATTGGCGTTATGAAGAATTGATTAAGTCTTTACAAAGACAGGTCGAGTTGTTTCGGAGATCCACAATAAAAAGTTTAAAAAATGCCAGTTGGAAATTGAAAATCAGATATTTAGTATTGAAATCTATCATTATGAAAGGCTATCAAATTCCTTCAAAAGATTTCAAAATTAAGAAAAAATTCAAAATATAGTCTTCGAAAATGTATTCTTTTCAATATTTAAAATTTTCAAATGGACCTACCTTTTGCTTAAAGAAAATTAAATTATGCTACGGAAAGTGTCAGCAATTTGTTTCAGAGCACGATGCCATACACCACTAGTTATTAAATGTTTTGTTAATTAAAAACCATTTGTTTAACATAATTAAGATATTGGGTAAATCTGTACAATATTTGATAATACACAAAAATACTTATTATGCGTTGCAAATGTGACTTAAAGTTAACAGTTTGAACTAAATTTTATAACAATTTGTTATACTAATCAATGATAGTTTATCAAAATTTGAATTTAAAATTGGCGCTTTTTGCGGCGCTACTGGTCCTTGAATGACAACTCTGAAGTTGCACATTTTTATATACATCCATGGCCGACCTGTCAGAACTTGTTGCAAGCATTTTGATTTTTGAGATTTAATTGGAAACACATAGGAAAAAGAAAGACCACTTAAAGAAGTGAGTACTTGAGAAATATTGTAGTTAATTGTGCAAGAAATATTTTGCATTCGGTGACTCCTAAAGTGACGGTTTGTGCAAGTGAAAACTTAGTTCTGACATAGTGTAAAAGTGTAAAATTTCTTGTTTGAAAATGGAAAAATGGAGCCCTTCAGCAGTTACGAGCGACTAATCTAATGATATTTGAAAGGTATGATAACAGGCATTTAGTGTACACTTTTATTATATTGCTAGTGGACTGTCATTGTCGATTTCTCAAAAATTTGACTTCTTTATTAACAATGAGTTTAATCGGCCATTACTATTACAATTGTAGTAGTTCACTTTTGATGTATCTATTGAGCAGTAATTTATTATCATATTACAAAATATTTGTACAGAATTAAATAATTCATATGTTGATTATAGCTTTTGGTACATAGACTGTGTATTAATTTTTTCTTAATCCAGGTTGTCGGTGAACCACAATTGAGGATAGCACCCCTTAAGAGGTAATATCTGCGGAGGGATCAGAGAGACCTCTCTAGAAAGGGCGGATTTTATTTTACAGCTTTGAGAAATAAAGGTATTAAACTTATTTAGATATAAAGATAGATACTTTATTCAAATTCAATATTTACAATTTAAGTCAATACAATTATTATTTTCATCACAATATTTTAATATAGCAAAAATATTAATTATATTTATGAACAACTCTAGGATTAACTGAACGACAATTAATAATTTAGTAATTTGCTTATCTATTAAAAGACACTGGCAGCTCAAGGCAAATAATAATTGAACAGTATGTCAAAACAAATTTACTGTACATTATTATTCTATTGCTGGTGGATTTCCATTGTCGATTTTTAATGTCTTTATTAACAATGAGTTTTATCTGCTTGTGCTGATTTATGTTGGTCAATACATTTACCAATATTACAATTGTAGTAGTTAACTTTTGATGTATCAGGTTCAGATGCGAGTGAGCAAAACTTATTTGAGCTGGAAGCCGATAAATATTTATCACATTGACAACTAAATATATATATATATATATATATATATATATATATATATATGTATGTATGTATGTATACTAGGTGACTCGACGGACATTGTCCTGTACCCACGCCTACAATTCAAAAGTGCCAAAGTTTTTAATATCCTATCCTATACTTTTTAATATCCTATTTGATGTCCTGTCTTTGTGATTCATTCATGGTCTTAGCATAACCAGTATAAGAAATTCAGAAAAGAATAATATAGTATCTGCGGTAAAAGAACAATATCACACTTGATTTTACCACACAACATATTGCTTCAACAATTTAGTCTACAATTTTCATAATCCCGTACGATATATTAGTTGCATTTTGGCAATTATAATTTCTAAAGTACATTTTTCTTACTAATAATTTAATAAAAATTATTGTTTATTTTCAAATCTTAGGTTAATTAACCTTTGTAAAATCTAGTTCATATATGCTCTATTTAATCTAAGATCAACTTGCTAAATATTCCATATCCAATGCTAAACAAATGAATTTTCGACACATGAAACAAAATTCTAAATCATTTTTTAATAAGTAGAAATATTTTTTGTATTGTTAAATAATTTAGTAAACAAAATGCGACACACAAGTTTAAAAAAAAAATGTATATGCAATTTTGGACTTACTGCTTTATTTATTAAACTGCATTATATAATTTCATCTGCCAAATACATACTGTTGACTTTATTTTCTTATATTATTTTAATTTCTGGCACGTCTCAGCTGCTTTTCGGCAATAATAATGTAGACATTACATTTTTCTTGTATATTACATTCTAATATTATATAATGTCAGCTAAATTCAAATTTCATGTGAATTGAAATTTCTAGCAGATGACTGTTCAAATGATTTCAATGTTAAACTAATACCTGTTTTTTTGTAAATTTTGCCATTTATTTCTACAGCTATATTACTATAGCTTCATTATTCATTAAATCTTAAATTTCCTTTCACAAACTCTAAAAAGAATGATCAAAATCTGAATAACCACTTAGAAGTATCAAATCATACACCCATACAGAAGAATTTTATATATAAGATATATATATATATATATATATATATATATATGGTGAAATAATGATAAAATTTTTCTTGGTCATCCATCCAGTAATTAAAAACAGTTTTATTGAAAGAAAATGTTTTTATTCAGAAAACATATGTTTCGGGTCTTGATTTGACCCATCTTCAGTGCATACAAATAAATTTCAAAAAAAAAACACAAACACACGAAATTGCACGAAAAAATTATGAAACAACAAATTGATAAAACGTCGAGTTATGATAAATTATATATATATATATATATATATAAATATATATTTAAGAGTAACTAGCAGCCTATGGTCAAAATGAAAAATGTAAAAAGTATTTAAAACCTTTTATTTATATGTTTCAACACCAGATGCGTGTCATTATTCAGCAACACCAGGACAAAACACAAAAAAAATTTAGAAAATTAACATTGTATGAACATTCAAAAAGGACAATTTTTTGGAAAATAATGATGAATAACCACAAAATTAAAACCATTTTGAGAAAAGTTTTGAACTGTAACACATTATGACTCATGAAACACACTCATTTCAAGCAAACTACTTGACTGTTATGTCTGATATATATATATATATATATATATATATATATATAAATTGAAACTTGTCTGCTAAAAAAAAATGTTTCAAATTTTATTCATCAAATCTTTGCATATACAGTAATGTACCATTGAATATATATACTATTATATATTCATGATTATTTATACATTTTAAGACTAACACGTTTTTTGTTTTAAAACTGCATGTATAGTGAATGTAATTTGTATCATTACATTTGTGTGTAAAAATTAATATTGAACCATTTGAATTTTTAACTCTATCTCACCCCTTTGCGTGAATTCCTGATCGCGCCTTTCATATTTTTAGAACCTGCTCTGCTATGAGTAAGCTTGTGTCCTTTCAAATTACTTGGTTGTTTGAAAGCTTTATTGCAGATATCGCATTTATAAGGGCGTTCTCCTGTATGAATGAGCCTGTGCATTTGTAGACTACCTGCTTGCGTGAAAGCCTTATTGCATGTCTCACATTTATAGGGCTTTTCTCCTGTATGAGTTCGCATATGTACTCTTAAATTAGTTGCTGTACGAAATGCTGCGTTACATGTTCCGCATTCAAAAGGTTGTTCACCTGTATGAATAAGCATATGCTGATTCAAATCACATTGTCGTGAAAATGTCTTATTGCATATTAAGCATTTGAAATTACGCTCTCCTGTATGAATGACCATATGCTGCTTTAAAATACCTGGTTGTCTGAATGCTTTGCTACATATTTGGCATTTGTAAGGGCGTTCTCCAGAATGACTATGCATGTGGGACTTCATATTACCCAATTGTGCAAATGTCTTATCACAAAATTCGCACTTGTAAGGACGTTCTCCGGTGTGAATACGCATGTGCCTTTTCAAATCACTCAAAGCAGTGAATGGCCTTTCGCATATGACACATTTGTGAGGATGCTCTTTAGTATGGATAACCATATGCCGCTTTAAATTATTGGATTGACTGAAGTTTTTGTTACATATTTTGCATTTGTAAGGGCGTTCTCCAGTATGCATACGCATGTGTGACTTGTAGCTGGTAGTTTGTATAAATGTCTTGTTGCATATTTCGCATTTATATAGATGTTCTCCTGTATGAATACGCATATGTACTTTCAAGTTACTCGAATTTGCTAATGTCTTGTCACATACTAAGCATGTCTGATTTACAGTAGGAGTATTTTTATTTACCTTATCAGATACATGTAAGCTTGAAGGTTGTTCCGTGATCTGTTCACAAACATGCTGATCTAATAAATAAATTGTATCAAATACTTTGTCGCATATTGTGCATAAAAAAGGTATTTCGTCGTCAAATTCATAAGCAGGTGTCTCAATTAACACCGTTTGGTCTTCTTCTTCTATAGTTACCTCAGTCTTCATGAATCTTTCGAGACACGTTTCTCCGTCCTCTGAGAACGACTCAGACTTAACAATATCTTCAACAGCATCAAATTCATCCTCAATTTCACATTTAACGACTTCTATTGAAAATTCTATAGGTTCCAATTTAATTGCCTGATCTTCAATAGACCTGATTGTTTCTCCAGACATTTTAAATATTTTTACTGCGTATATACAATAAGTATTTACAGAAACAGTCGTGCACTATTTAACAATCTATTTTACAATAATTAATTTAACTAAATTTACATTTGTTATTAAAAATGAAGAGGTTAGCTTCGCCTGGCTTTTCACTTGGCTGCATTTGATTCAGTTGGTAATTGAAGCATAGAGCATGTTTTTGAAAAGATAAGACGTCTTTTTCAAATTGCATGTTCACTATTCTCTATGGTTCAACTGTCAACACAAAACAATAAAATTTCAAATTAAAAAATTTAAACTAGTGGTGTATGGCATCGTGCCTTAAGGCAAATTGCAGGAACTTTTCGTACCGTAACGAAATGTTCGAGGAATATCAAATGTTTTCAAATAGATTATTATAAATACTACAACATTGTCTAATATTTATAAAAAAATATATAAACTGAATTGCAAAGCTGAAATTATTTGTTTGAAGTATATTAGAATTTTAGTCAGAATTAAAATTAAAATCTGAATTATTTTCGATATACAAAAAAAACTAGTTGGTTTGGTATTTAGCCTTGAGGCAAGTTACATGAACTTTTCGATATGTGTAAATAATCGACTTGATCAATAAAAAATAAATTTATTTATGAGTGATTATAAGTGTTCCGAGTGGATTTATTACACATCTTTGCAAACGAACGAACGAACACGTTAACTCGGAGTATTTTCTAAAAAGCAAATTTTCAAAGATCAATAATTATAATTGAACCAGTTTCTTTGATGAATTTTTAAAATTAAACTACTTGTCGTAAGGCCTTAATAATTCAGTAAGTTCTATAAGACCATGATATATATCGCCAAAAAAAGTTCCATAAAAATCAGCCTAATTTTTTTTTTTCAACAGTTAATTACAAGAAAACGGCTCGGTAGATTTTCACCTAAAACTATTCAGTATCATTCCCAACTAATATCATTCGGACAGTTTTTGATTTTTTTAAATCGGTTCGGTAGTATGAGCTTAAATGTGGACGAAAGGTTTAACGCTTTTTTCTAAATTACAAAGAAACGGCTCGACTGATCGTTGCATAAAACTGAGAAACGATAATCCTCATCGAGATACATCAAATGCTTTTTAAATATCTGAAATAGGTTCAAGCGCTTTTGAGCAAACGTCGATGAAAGTTTTAATTTTGACAAATGCCAAATAGACCATACTAATTTTTGCAAACTTTGACGAATTTTTAAAACTAAACCAGTTGTCGTAGGGCCGTAATATTTTAGTATGATCTGGAAGACTATGGTGTCTACCGCCAAAAAAATAATCATAAAAATTGTCGAATTTTTTTTTTAAACTTTATTACTATTATTACAAGAAAACGGCCCGGCCGATCTCTACCAAAAACTTATCAGCACGATTCCCAACCAATATCTTTCGAACGGTTGTTGAATTTTCAAAATCGATTCAGAATTGCGGGCTAAAACGTAGACGAAAAAAATTTCACTTTTCTGCGATTTATAAAGAAACGGTTTGACCGATCGTCGCACAAAATTGACAAACAATAGTCCTCATCGAGATAAATCGAGTGGCTTTTAAATTTTTGAAATCGGTCCAGCCGTTTTCGAGAAATGAATCGAGAAAAATGGTTTTATGGAACTTACTGAAATATTATTGCCTTTACGACAAGTAGTTTAATTTTTAAAATTTATCAAAGTTTGAGGAAAGGAGTCGTTTTTTTGACATTTGTTAAAATTAAAATTACACGACTTACTTGGTATAATTATATAAATTGTTGAGTTTTGAAAATTTGCTTTTAGAAAATACTCAGGGTTAACGTTTTCGTTCGTTTTCAATGATGTGTAATGAATCCACTGGGAATACTTTTAATCACTCATAAATTAATTTATTTTTATTGATTAAATTGATTATTTATACATATCGGGAAGTTCATGTAACTTGCCTCATGGCAAAATACCAATACCAACTAGTTCCTCTTCAACTTTGCTCGCTATATTCGTTTATCTTCGTTCCTGTTCGTTGTAACGTCTTCACTATGCTCGTTGGCGTTCGTTCTGGTACGTACATTCTTACTTGTTCGTGTTCGTTCGTGCTCGTTCGTTAGGTGAGGGCGTACCTTAATATGCATCTATTGTCTTATGCATGTCTTATCTTTGTTCACAGCCATTGGCAGTTAGCACAAATCCGCCACTAAATTAAGCCACTCACTCAAGAAGGCGTTTCGACATTAATAAGATGTAAGTAGCATTTTCTACCTTCATTATTTAATAATCTAAATCTTTAGTGCATTTATGTTTTCAATTTTTGTGGCAAAATCAAATATAAATCCTCAGCATCTTTATACTGTATACCTTGTTCTATTCGACAGCACGTTTGATTTAGTATTTTATAAGTGAATGAGTTAAAATTCATAATTATGCCTGATTCCGATGCAACAGACGGTTTTCGGAGTAGATTCAAAGATTTCTTCCTAAACAAGAAATATACAGATGTGACAATACATGTCAAAGGAGAGGTATTACACGATGATACTATCACTTATGAATTTATGTAATAATGCTTCAATCATTTGCAGGATGAGACGATTAGTATACAAAGCCACAAAACTTTATTAATTATGTCGTCTTTGGTTTTTCAAAATTTATTAATCCCTTGTCCTGGTTCAGAACTAACAATAGAAGAGCCGCAAATCAAAAACTTCCAAGTTCTAATCGAGTAAGTTTGAAAAATCATGGTTTTGCATGTCGGATCTCATTATTGAGTTGAATCATTTGTTGCAGATTCATTTATACTCATGACATAGACTTTTCAAATTTGAAATCAAAAGATGTCATCACTATCATACAACTCGCAATAAAATACAAAATACCTGAGTTGGTTAAGTATTGCGTGGAAAGAGTGTTTAAACAAAAACATTTATCTGAATTGTGCTGTAAGAAATGCCTTGCTGATTATTTTAATTTGGCACTTAAAGAGAATATTGAAATCATGATAAAACCATGCTTAGAGGTAATAATAACAAATTAATAAAGCTTATGCTTTATTATAATTGTAATAAATTATGTTGCAGATTATTTCCCAGCACACAGCAAGTTTTTTTATGGATGATGCCGTCTTGTCATTGAGTCCCGAAGCAGTGAGAACTATTGTGCAACAAGATGATTTAAATATATCAGAAATTGAATTGTATTCATCAGTTGTGAGTTGGGTGATTCTTACACATTCCCGTGGTATTTACGAGGTTCCTATGCATACAAGACAATGTGAAATACCATTTAATTTGCAATTGATGGAAAACAAGGCTTTATGTATTGTAAAAGTTGAACATTCGGATTTAGAAATGACAGATAAATTGGAACTTGATAATCTGTACACAAATGCTTCTCGTTTATTATTACGTCACATTCATCATATTGAATTTGAAGAAACAAGAGACCATGGAAACATACAAAGTGAAATGAATAGGAAAATGTTCAGAAAAATTTTAGATAAAGAAAATATCACACAATGTATTAGATTCCTAGCTTTAGATTCTGATGAGTTTGATTACATTTGTGCAAATAATAACATTTTAACCACAGATGAAGTAAGGTTACAAACATTTTTAGGTAATTTATACATCAATTCATAACACAAATTTTCTTTAGGTTTCAGATATCTCACTTACTCGTGATTCAACTTGCTCACTTCAATCAGGATTGAGCAACAACAGAATACCTCGCAGAGTTAAAAATTTCAAAGTGCCCCCCACATCCTCCAAGCTTCGTGTTCATGCATGCATGATGTTCAAGTTTTTATCAGACCGCACATACCAAGTTGATTTTGATAGAACTCCAGAATTGTTAGAAACATTTGTTGTCGAGTCCGAACAACCAATACTACTAACAGCCATAGTTTTGCCACCAAAGCTAACATTCTCTGACAGGTATGAAGAAGATGTCTTTGTTAAATTATATAGGAGAAAGCCAGGTGCTGAATCTCAGTTATTTGCATCAACATGCTTTATTGGAAGACGCAGATGTGAACCTTTGACTTTATTGATAAATTATGATGTTGATGGTTTGGATGGTGATATCTGTTTGCATCGTGGTAGTGAGATTGATATTGAAATAAGGAAATTGACTAGAGGTGCTTATAAATGTTTTTCAAATAGGTTGGGTCAAAATCCTTTCATTGTCCCTAAAGGTAAAAAGAATGAATTCATAATTGGTTTTGGGTTTTGCTTCAACATGGGATGAAGTGGGAAATTAAATATGGGAATATTTAATATTTAGCTTATATGTTTTGCGTTTTTATATTCCGCTCTATATAAACCATATTTAAAATTATTGACCCTATATTCTGAAATATTAAATAATATTTATAATTAATATTGAACAAACTGCATTAATAAAAATTGTTCATTTAGTCTGAGTAAATATATACATTTTTTACATAGTTATAAATTGAATTTTATCAATTTTATTACAATTTACATATCATTTTTTCATGATTATAGGATATAATATTTAAAATATATTTAGTATCTATAACTTTTTGCAATTTTATTATAATCCACATATTATTTTTTATGGTTGTAGGATATGAAATATTATATAGTAGTGCCTTAAGGCAAATTGCTGGAACTTTCTATACCATGATGAAATATTCAAAGAATATTAAATGTTTTTAAATGGATTATTATAAATACTATAACTTATATATGTTTACAGAAAAGTAAACAAAACAAAACTTCAATTGATCAATCAAATTTAAAATGAAATACATTGTCTAAAATTTATAAGAATTATGTAAACAGTATTGCAAAGTTGAAATTTTTACTTAAAGTATATAAGTGAGCTTTAGAACTTTAAAAAAAGCAATTGTTTTGTCAACACACGCAAGGAATCATTCAAATCGGATGCTCTGTCTTCTCAAAAACTGCCAATTCTTACACATTTAGCTCCGTATCTTCGAAACGGCTCGACCTGTCTTCGCCAAAAACTAACCACCACTTCTCCTAATCATTAGAATATTTTTTAACTTCCCGTAGGGTAAGTTATATTTATCGCAAAAAATCGAAAATGAAAGTTTTTACATATCTTTACGTTTTAAAGGTCTCTGAATATTTTGGCATACCTTAGAAAAAATGCAGGTGTGCGCGGATACAAATTTTCGTCGACGATTTCGGGAACACCGATCAACCGATTTAAATAATTCAAAAAACAATCGATTCGTACTGATAAGGAGACATGCTGATTAGTTTTTGGCGGGGGCAGGTCTAGCCGTCTCCGAAGATACGGAGCAAAAAGTGCCAAAAAGGGTAACAGCGTCCGATTTTAAAAATTCAAAAAACATTTTACTTGTATTAACAAGATGAAGAACTGATCAAATTTTCATTCAGGCAGGTCTATTGGTTTCGGAGATATAGTAAAAAAAAGTAAAAAAAAAAAATGCCATTTGGCGGTCAAAAATGATCATTAGACATATGACATCAAATTATCGGATATTTTATAGAGATTTTAACAATAAGTATAAATTTTGTTTACATTGCTATGGGTTCCGTACCAATATTTACCCGTTAGACGGCGACGCGGCGCTTACGCGTCTCGATATTTCGTGTCTATGCAGTTAAAGCAGTACGATTGCTTTGAAAAAAAGTTCAGAATTTCTAAAATATTTCAAAATAAATTTTTCTTCAAAAAGTCTTTTTTTCAAAAACAGGAAATTTTTGTCAAAAATTTATAGTTTCTCAAAAATCTAATTTTTCCAGAGTAATTTTTTTTCAAAAATGTTAATCTTTTTAAAAAAAAAAATTTGGGACGGAAAGTTCCTGCAATTTGCCTTAAGGCACGATGCAATGCGCTCCACTAGTTAACCATTCAAATCGGTTGATCCGTGCGCCCGTAAACGTGGACGAAACATTATGTCCATACATACATACACACCACACACACACACATACATTTTTTCTAAGGTAAGCCAAAATGTTTTCACAAACCTTCAAAACGTGAAGATATGCAGAAATTCTCAATTTCAATTTTTGGACGATTACAATAACTTACCTTATTCCTTATTTATGAACTTACCCTAAGTGAAGTTAATAAGAACTTTAATTAACTTTTATTATCAAACCGCTTTTCATAGGCCTCCAATATTTCACCACGGTCAGTTTGGGCTTAAAATCTACCATTATGCCAAAATTCATCAAAAATCCAGACGAGCTACGCGCGGTTTCTGCTTGTTAGTCTAAAAAATATTTAAATATTAACTTTTCTACCAGCTTTATGTCTACTAATTAATTAATGGATGTGAGCGTTGCGTAAATAGTTGAAATAAATTAACTTATTAAAATTTGTATACTAATTAATTTCAATTGTCGAGAAAGATTAACAAGATTGAGGCGGATTAGTAGTTGAAGAAATTAAAAATGGCGCACCGACATTTTCAGACAAAATTAATAAAAGCATTGTATGAAAATGTGTTTCTTACTATTCGTTCGACAATTTTTAATTATATAATTAAGAAAATAACAGTTAACAATAATAATTTTTAACTTTCCGTAGGATAAGTTATAGTAATGGGCCAAAAGTAGAAAATGAAATTTTTGTGCATATCTTCACGTTTTAGAGGTTTCTGAACATTTTGGCATACCTTAGAAAAAAAGGATGTGTGTTTCTATTTTTTTGTCCGCATTTTTCGTCCACGTTTTCGGGCGCACGGATCAACCGATTTAATTGGTTCACAACACAATCGATTCCTATTCATAGGGAAATGTGCTGATTAGTTTTTGGCAAAGGCAGGTTCAGCCGTTACGGAGATACGGAGCAAAGAGTGCAGAAAATACAAATCGAGTTTTTGAGAGAACGGAGTATCCGATTTGAATGATCTAAATATATTCAATTTGTAATGATTGGGAGAAGCGGTGATTAGTTTTTAGCAATGGCAGGTCCGGCAGTTTCGAAGATACATGGCTAAATGTGCAAAAAATGGCAGTTTTTGAGAGAACTAAGTATCCGAATTGAATGATTCAAAAAGCTTTCTGCTTGGGTTGACGAAACGATTGCTTTTGTGAAAAAAAATATTTCAAATTTTTTTTGTATATCAAATTTTAATTTTAATTCTTGCTAAAGTTCTAAAGCTTACTTATATACTATAAATAAATAATTTTAACTTTGTAATTCTGTTTATGTAACTTTTATAATTATTGGACAATGTTCTAGTATTTATAATAATCTATTTGAAAACATTTAATATTCCTCAAACATTTCGTTACGCTGCGGGAAGTTCCAGCAATTTGCCATAAAACTTTTCCGTGCGTTTAATCGATTCCAATTAGAATTTCTGGCGAGCAAATATGTACGCTCCGTGTTTCGTAGACAATTACTGATTACAGTTGATGTTTACGCTTAAATCACATTAAACTTAATAAATAATATCAAATAGTTCACTTAGACAAATTTTCTTGACATTGTCTTTTTAAATGTCGTAATTTTAAAAAAAAATTAAAAATGAATTTTTACCAAAATTTCAAAATTCTCAAAAAAGTCGATTATTTATCTTCCCGTATGATTCAAAAAACATTCCTATTGATAGGGAGATGTGCTGATTAGTTTTTGGCAAAGGCAGGTCCAGCAGTTACAGAGATAAAGAGTTTTTGAGAGAACGGAGCATCCGATTTGAATGATCTAAAAAACATTTAATTAGTAATGATTGAGAGAAGTGTTTATTAGTTTTTGGCAAATGCAGGCCCAGCCATTTCGAAGATACGGAGCTAAATGTGCAAAAAAATGGCAGTTTTTGAGAGTACTAAGCGTCCCATTTAAATGATTCAAAAAACTTTCTGCTTGTCTTAACAAAATAATTGATTTGGGAAAAATTTTTTATTTGTTTCAATTTTTTTTAAATACAATTTTTTTTGTATATCAAAAAAAATCAGATTTTATTTTTAATTCTAACTATAGTTCTAATATACTAAATAATTTCAACTTTGCACTTCAGTTTATATAATTCTTATAAATATTAGACAATGTTACAATATTTATAATAATCTATTTGAAAACATTCAGTATTCCTCGAACATTTTGTTACGGTACGGGAAGTTCCAGCAATTTGCCTTAAGACATGATGCCATACATCCCACTAGTTTAGTTCTAAATTAGAAATAATTGCATTGAAAATAAAATAATTATCAAAATAATTAGGATTTACTTTTTGTTCACGATAGCATTGTCTAAAAGTTATTAAAAATATTAATAATTTGTTTTATATAAATTAAAAATTTAACATTAAAAATATATATAAAATTAAAATAACATTAAAATTATTTTCAAAAATCTTGCTTTACCTTAACAAATCATAATATCATCTTTAAATATTCTTTATAAAACCTTTGCCTGAAATAAATAAAAGTTTTACCAAAATATTAATATATAATATTTTATTAGAATTAAATTTACCCGGATTCAAATTTTAATTAAAAAGTGTCGAATATCTTATTTTGATAGTACATACAATTTTCTAGCAAATTTATTCTTATTTCTGAACCCGATTCGTCCCTACCTATTCTAATTTCACGTGTAGAATGATAACGCTCGTTATGTATTTACTTACCTAAGGCAAAACTTCTCAAAATATAAATCATAATTTAATATTAAGGCGTTAGTGGCATTTTGTGTTGAGACCGTAGACCTTATACTACATGGACTGCTAGTCGAGCGCGAAATATGTGCTCAAACATAGATGGGTATATGACGTCACATGTCTGAGCGAACATTGCCGACGACAATCGCGGACTCTCTTGATTGATTAAATGTCATATGTCATGTGGTTTATTTTAATAATAAATGACAATTGTGATGACTGATAGTTTTGTAAGAAGTATAAAATAAAATATAATATAATAATAAAATTTATCATAATAGTCAATGTAATTCAATATTATCTGTGATAGTTTTATTTCAATAATATAATGGCAATTATTAATATAATTTCTTTCAAAATTATCAGTCGGCACAATTGCCATTATATTATTGAAATAAAACTATCACAGATAATTTTTGAGCCATATTAACTATTATTATAGATATTATTAACTATTAATAATATCATTTTTTAAAATATTATCAGTCATTACAATTGCCATTATATTATTAAAAATATGACATATGACATTTAATCAATTGGGAGAGTTCCACGATTGTCGGCAACGGTCGTTCAGCAAGTGACGTCACAGTCTTTTCTATCTTTGTACACTTTATACAATGGAAAAAATATGAGGACTAGCAGTCCATATAAAAAATAAATACAATAAAACTGACGAGTGTCAAAAATTAGATATTTCTAGAAAATTGGTACGGAAAGTTCGAGCAATTT